GAGAAATTATTTAATCCAAAGATACATGATTTGTTATGGGAACCAGAACAAAATTCTGAATGGTTTAATCCCTATCTAGTTTTCTTTCCACTATATCAAAAGACCTGAAACCTCTAAAATGGTAATGCCAATATTCATGTATACCTATTATTACAAGAAGAACTTTTTCTCCAAATAAGTAAGAAAAAGCAGATACTTATAATTTCTTATAACACACACCACAAATTTTTATGATGCTCATATTTTAAAAATCAAAGGAGGAAAAAACAAAAATACAACATGGACTCGTAACAAATTACATGCAAACAAACAACTAGAAAAAATATAATTCACAATAAATTTTAGATTTATTTATCAACTATTAACCATGGGAAAGCTGATGAGAAATCTGAAATGTAGACTTGGGTCACATTTTAAATGTTTTTTTTAAATTTACATAGATCTCTCTGTTAATTCTTGTAGGTCTGAATTGCGTTACTTTAATAATTTAGCCTTTGCTCTAATGTGCTTGAATTTAGTTGACTAGTCTAAGCATCTTGGTAGAGAATTAATCATTTCTTCATCTGTTCAGATCAATTATCCAGCATAGCCATTTATTATTCTCTCTCATACTAGACAATCTGGGCCAGTACTATATTCTCATTGTTCTTGATTTTACCTTGTTATACCATGATTATAGTCACCAGCCTAAGTATATCCTTTGTTGAGGTAAAAACAATGCAACAAAAATATTTATGTCCTTTAAATTGAGTTATTCTGAAATACAAAGCTCAAAGTTTTAAAATATGACTTCTACTGGTATTTTACAGTGATTCCTAGTAAGTCTGTGAGTTTGGCCTGAAAAATTAATAAAGTTTTCCTTAGGGTTTGCATACATCCAGATCTTTGTCTCTCTGCCAGGCATTAAATCAGAGAACCTGCAGTGATGTTTTCTTGACTGAAAGCCGGCCCTGGTAGATTGATTGTTTTCTCAGCCTCACCAGTGATCAGTCCCATGTACCTTGAAGTGATGATGAAGTTGTTTAAAGACTGTGGTCTATGTTCCTTCCTAGGGCATTTTCCCTCAGTATCAACAACACACATCTCCCAAATCACCTTTTACTATAGCTCTTCTTGTTTTACAACATCTTTTTGAGCAGTTTTTAAAAATATTTTAATTAAATTTATTGGGGTGACATTGGTTAATACTACCAAATCGTAACATACATCAATTCCAGACCTGTTTGATTAAATGCATTTTATATTTTTCCTACAAATTCCTTCTACATACCAGACTTTATCTTTTTTTACTCAGATAACCAAACCTGATGATTACTTTTAGAAAAATGCTTCTCAAAGTGAGAAAATACCTATAAATATTGTAACAAAAATCATTTTTAATACCAGTACCTTGTACACTACTACCTACCTAAATCCAAAGCCAAACAGTATATGACTCACAGAAATGTGGAATGTAGTTGTTTTATTATTGGTCTAATATAAGTATGTAGGCAAAGATGGACAAAAAAAAAACTTTAAAAAAACAAATTGAGGGTTTTCAAAGTAGTGGTCTTGATCATAAACATTTACACAGAATCTAAGCAAAGGCTCTGGAAATCTAAGGGCACATACATCAATAACTCAAGATGAGCATGCCTACTATGTGTTTGGCAGCTCTCGGGGCTGGAGATGGCGTGGCAAAGGAGAATGTAAGCACCTCCTCTAGAGTGTGAGCTCTTGAAGGGACTGATGAAGTCTCTTCCCTCAGGGAATATAATATCCTAGAGGAGGAGCTTATGTTCAAAGGCGGAGCTTACTAGGCATATGTTCTAATGATTTTAACTTAATGAAAATCCGTTGATAGGCAGGTATTTTATAATTATGGGGGATAACATCGAAGAATAAAGGCAGGGGCAGGTCGGCAAGAGGGAAAGGTTGGAGTAAGCCTGCACCTGGGCTCATGTCGTGGACAAAGGTTTTCATAATGCCCTGAGCTACCCAGAAGTTTACAATCGAAAGCTTAAAGGTCATCTTTGAGTGGAAGGAGGGAGCCAGGTAAGCAGAGAGAAAAGGTTCTTTTCAAGAGGAGGATCTTTTATCGGGACTTTGAAGAACAGTTAATTTCTAAGAAACAGATATGAGAAGAGAGACTTAAATCTCATTTTTAAAATAAACCAAATGATGATATAGCAAACAGCTCAAAATCAGCTGCCATTTTGTATTTGTCAAAGTCATGTTCAAAGGGCTGGTTATTTAAATGGGGGCGGGGGGGGGCGGTGCTGGTTACTTCTCCATTATAACACCAGAAGAGATGCCAGAGAAAGTTTTTGTCATTTGTAAAAGTGTAACAGAAAATAAATAGCACTTCCCATTTATTCTATGAGCACAGTACCTGGGTTTTCTAACTTGAAAAGTATAGTTTATTCCCCGGACTAGACTATACTGCAGCCTTCTCCATGGTTGTCAATAACCTGCTTAAATGTTTACTTTGATTCCCAATAGATTAAAAAAACCTAAACTCTCATTCTCTATGTGATAAAGTTCAGAGAAAAAAATACAGTTAAAAAGCTTGGCAACTGCCTACCTCTTCTATTTTAATAATATTGAACCTCTACATGATATCCAAGTGGTAAAAAATAGCTTTTTCATAACATAAACATAACTTTTAAAATGACTTCCCAGTATACTCAACAGATTTTATACAAATTAACCATATTCTATATATACTCAAGGATACACATCTCTACTCAAAAAAAGGACGAAAGAAAGAAGAAAAGAAAATGATCATTATGTAGAGAAACTTTGATGAGTTTACTTTTTATTATTTATATTTATCAGCTCTACTAAAGATATATGCTAGCTCTCAATATTACTCATAGGCAATTCAATACATAAAATTACAAGACTAAAAAAACACAATGAAACATCATTTGCTCTAAAGCCTTTAATTTTTGCATCAGTATCATGAGGCTCCAGAGTACACAATTATCAATTGTCCCTCCCTTCTATTTTCCCCTAATGATTCAAAGCGTTTAAATATTTTTATTAACTCTTTCAAAGTGTCAATCTATTTATGAAGATATGCTTACCTGGGTATTGATATTGTTTAAATTATATTTTCAGTCCTCATTTTGGAACTCAAGACCCTATGAGATTTTTTTCACTATCCATAGTCTTTGAACAAAAAGTAACATACATTTACTAGTAAGTGCTGATTTCTTTCTAAATGCTTAAGGGAAAGCTGCAAATATACATTTGTCTAGCAGGGGGAGACTTTATGCTTTCTCTGACCATTTCCTTAAAAGTAGTGCAGAAACCGTACTTACATTAGAACTTACTTCCAACATTCTTATGCCTGTGAGATGCTTTAAATAAGTAGAAAACTGATAGACGTGTGTGAGCATTAGTGGACATTTTAAGACCAATCTTTCCCTGTGCCATTTTGCACAGGACCATTCTAGGAAGAGAGTGGCCTCTATTTTCAGATAAGCTACCATGAGAACCCATTACCGGCCACTCCCTGGGATACATTTCAAGTTCTAAAGTACAGCTTTGCCTTCCTCAACCCGGTTCTGGGTTCTTTTGTTTCTCAGTCTATAGACTGAGCCATCAAATGTTTGACATGACAGAAACAGAATCAGCACGTTCTACTAGGAACTTACATAAAATTTTAAAAATCTCAAATAGAAGGAGAGAAAAAGAATGCAAAAAAGGTCTATCAACAGATAACGGTGATTACCAGAAGGAAAGGGGGGAGTGGGAAGGTTGAAGGAGATTAAGGGGAATCTATAAATATATGGTGACAGAAGGAGACTAGGCTTTGGGTGGTAAGCACACAATGCAGTACACAGATGGTGTGTTATGGAATTGTACACTTGAACTCATATAATGTTATTTCCTAATGTCACCACAATAAATTTAATGTCTTGTTTTATTTTTTTATTTTTATTTTTTATTGCATTCATTGGGGTGACAATGGTCAACATGAACATATAGGTTTCAGGTGTGGGTTTCTATGTTACAAGATCCGTATACTGCACCATGTGCCCACCACCCAAAGTCAGATCTTCTCCTGTCACCTTATATTAGGATCCTTTTCTTCCCCACCCGCTTCCCTCTGGCAACCAACACACTGCTGCTTGCGTTCACGAGCTTCAGTCTTATATCCCACATATGAGTGAAATCATATACTTCTTAGCTTTTTCTGACTGACTTATTTCACTTAGCATAATGTTTTGTTTTGCTTTAAAAAGAACTAGGAATAAAGCTTACACACCACCCACACACACACACACACACACACACACACACACACAGTCTATCAGCTTTCCTGCCTATAAGAACTTCAAAAATTCAAAAAATTTGACTGGTCAGCCACCATAAAGATAACAGCAAGGGAGAAAAATACCCAACCCTACGTGTACTAAGGGAGAATGGTGAAAAACAGAGATCAAACCATTCCTGGTTTAGATAAGCTTTATACTTCTGAGAATAGAGATTGTAAAAATTGATTAACTGCAGATTTTCAAGAATTGGCCAGATTATCACTTGGGTGAACCCTAAGAAACTCACAGAATGTTGGATGCCTCTCAGGTCCTCTGAACTTTCCCACAAGGGGTTGCCAACTGAAACCCCAAACCAGTCCTGTCCAACACATTTCATTAATACCAAGACGGCTCACTTGACGTTTGCAAAGTCTAACATTCACTGGGAGCAGGGGTCAGCCCAGGCCCCTAGAGAAATTCGAGGCTCCTCTGCCACTGAACAAATAAGCTTCTTAAAGGAAGACACTCCAGGAGAGCATCTCAGAGATAAAGACCATAAAAGTACCGACAGGCTTCAGGCTCACTATGGCTGCCTACTATGGTTTCTGGTTTCCTAAAAATAGCCCTCAGGGTACAGATCCCTCTCCCTCTTTGCCCTAAGAAAGCTGAAGAGCTCTCCGAAGGGAGTGGCCACCCCTCTCTGAAACCTGAATCGAACTGTGAGGTCACAGCTTCCCCCACAATAAAATGCAGCCTCCACCAGGGTGGCCCCACTCAGGGACTGGAGAAGCCCTCAACTCCTCATCTTCGCCGCTGTTTTGCAGCCCAGCAGCTCCATCATGGTGGGTCCTACGAGAAAAGAGTTTGTCATTTGCAGGAGGAAAGAGATAGGGGCTATCTATCCTCTTACTGAGAAAAAAGGCAGACATAAAACAGAACTGGGGAGATAGCATATTCAATATGAGTCTTTAGAATCCGCTTTGGGTTTTGGTGAGGTGGGCTGAGGATAGAAGAATTAATTTGAGCTATTATGCCAGCTGGAAAAATAAGGCTTAGTTCCCAAAATAGTACTTTATGCTTCATCAATTTTTGCTATATCACATAAGGTTTATTATATCTAAATTTAGAAAGAAAAAAAACCTCTGCAACTATAGGAAAATATCACATCTTAAAAAACAATCCAGTGATGCCCATTTCTAAAGCTGAGTAATCTACTTCTGATGCATTAAGTAAAAATGTGATGGTTAAACAGAAGAACAACTTATGGTGATTCTTTGCAATGCAGTGCATCTGTATTTCTTAAAACAGTGTACCTGTTTTAGACATATCTTCAGTATACTCTAGATTATTATCTTATTCCAGGAAGTATTTGACTTGGCCTCTGTTAAAGCATTGATTCATTAGAGAGAGATGTTCCCTAACTATCTTTGCCAATAGCTTTTTATTTATCCTAGACTCCGACGTATCCTAAGGCAACCTTCTTACTCTATGAAACCTACATGGCTTTTTAAAAATCTCAGGACAGGCAGCACTCAATTCTGTCAATGCATTTGAAAGAGTACTAGCTGTTTTTTCTTTCTCCCTCTCGCCACTGCAGTCCTTCAGCGCTGACCAGATTGCTGGTAAGTGAATTGAGCTTTTCTACTTCAGAAGTAGGCAGAACACTGCCTAGTTTTGGAAATATCACTTATCTCCAAGGCATGTGACTAACTGGCTCAACCTGTTAGTGTCCAAGCTATGCCTGAACTCTGAAAAGTAGGCTGACTTTGGGAGCTTACTTTAAAGATGACTCAGGGAATGAGCTCGGATACGCTGTAAAGTCAGGACATTTTGGTTGGTTAAAATATTCTTTGTGGTTAATTTCTTTCTAACAGATCGAGTTCTCTCAGGAACAGCAGGATGGTAAGTTTAAAAGATATTGCTGTTGATATGCGCACACTCAGAAAGATGGGTTTGGAAAGCCGACTCCCTCTGGGTGAGATTAGTTCTTCCTAATGACCCCCCACCGGTGCTGCCACTCTAAAAATAAATGCTCTCAATCACTCTAACATCTCTCAGCACCCCCAAGCAGCCCTTTCTTATAATTAGTAATCAGAGGTTAAAGCAAACAATAGATAAACACTACAAAATAGGCCCTTATATTCACTGATTTCTAAATATCTATATATACTAGTATACTCCAAAAAGATGCTGATTTTGGATGGCTAATTTGTTAATCAAATACTTAAAGAGAGATTTTGCAAGTCTGAATTGTTCAATTGGAAAATAAAATCATTACTATAAAACTGCCAATGACCAAATCTACATAATCTCAATGGGCATTATAATGCATTGAGAGAAATGATGGGTAAAGTAGATATAGAATAAAAGTAAATTCACAGACAAAGAGGGAAGAGTATTTGTCATAAAACTGTTGGGGGAAAACAGTAGATGTCTCCTGGTCCATCTTTAGTGACACAAGACAGGTTCCCAGGGAGGGGATGGGACTTGCTCAAGGAACCTAAGAATTAATAATAGGATCAAAATCTGGTATTAGTTTAAATTCATTAGAATTTCTTTCATAAAAACAATTACTAACTAAAAAACTTAAACTCTTATGATTCAAGAGAAGCAGAATACTTTCCCTAACACTCCCATGTTTTTTCTCCTTTCAGTCTTGGAATCCCAGAATCCTGTGCCCTATAAGATCCTATTTTTTCACTAGAAGTGTACTGAGGCATGTTTTATGGAGTGACAGTGTCACATATTCAAATAAAGTGAGATAGAAATAATCTATGAAAGAGAAGGGAAGAAAAATTAGGTGTATGATATATAACTTAGAATATTGGTCATAATAACTATCAATATTATACATGTTATGGTATATATTATGTAATTTTAAATATAGGTGATTTAATAAGGACCTATTCAAAGACTCAGTTCTCCACCTAAAGAATTCCACAGTTTCCTGTGTTTTAGTGTCTGGACTATCTCATGTTCAAACATCAATTAAGGAAAAAGAGGATATTTGCTGTAGTAGCTGTAGTACAGACTCACATGTATCCACATCATGGTTGGTGGCCTCATGTAGAACAATTAGATAACTTCATGACTCAGAACTCAATATCCTATAAAATTATACTAAACAGGACTATATTTTATTCAAAATAGTTGGTACTTCTACTATAATTTGTTTGATTTTTGATACATTTTTAACTAGTGATGCTGCAACATTTTCAGCTAATTACATCCCAGTCCTCTTATATATCTACTTTACAGGGTCATTTTGAAAGCCAAACTATGGTAGGACCAAACAATAGAAGACTTTAAAACCCTTATAGGAACAGAAGGGAAGTTTAAACCTATTAAACTATTACAATGAAACCTATTACTTCATATATGAAATAGGTTTTAGATAGAGTTTTGGTAAACATGGGTGTGGTGGACTGGTTTTTCTCTTGCGCCAGGAAAACAAATGTTTCTTAGCATTTTAAATGAAATGGAAATCTGATTTGTTCAGAAAAGAATGAAGACTTCCTTTGATTACTTTCTTGTTTAATGATTAAATAGTTTTACTCAAGGCTGTTCTATTTGAATGTTTCACAGGTTTGTAGGAAAGAAGAAATAACAACTAGAAAATCATAGCATCCTAAAAGTCTAAGTCCTCCTATGCTGTCCAGTAGAGCTGCCACTGGCCACATGTGGCTATTTAAATTTAAACGGTAAATAGTTAAAAATAAATTAACTATTTAAAAATAGTAAACATTTAAAATTCCATTTCCACAGTTGTACTAGTTGCCTTCTAGTGCTCAAGAATTGCAGGTAACTAGTAGCTACATTTTGGGGCAGCCCAGATATAGAACATTTCAATCATCACAGAAAGTTCTAGAACAGTATTGTTCTAGACAAGGGGCTGGAAAAAAAATTTTTTTAAAGGATCAACGAGTAAATATGTTAAGCTTTATTGGCAAATGCAGCCGCTGTAAAAAGAACCCAGATGTGTTACTGATGAAAACAGCCATAGACAATACATACACAAATAGCTGCATTCCAATCAAACTTTGTTTACAAAAACAGGTGGTCAGCCCCTAGGCAGGAGTGTGCTAACCCATGTTCTAGACTCTTCAAGAGAAAAACATAAGCCTTAAAATTCTGGGGTAGAAAGAACAATATCTTTCTGGCTTTAGCCTTTAAATCAACAGGAGGTTTAATGTCAGGAAGATTCTATTACAGCCCATAAAATTCCTATTTCTATATCAAGCATCTGCCCAGGGTAATAGTGAGCCCGCTGAGCAATTTGTGCATGAAAGCCTGGAGCCAGTAACAGGAATAGTTCAGTTTCACATGTCCCTTAGAAAGATGAAACAATATTTAACTAATGACCCTACAGTGCCTGGGGCATGTTTTCAGATTAGGGAAATGATCTTTTATGGTCAAATTGCAGAGAATATGAGGGGGAAATTTTAGCAAAGGAGGGAAACATGATCACAATAGTTGACAGTGAAAATGTCTGGTTCAATCCTAGATTAGAGGATGGAGGGACAGTAAAATAGGGTATTTTTGCTGAGTAATCTATCCAGAAGGTATAATTTGATCCTGAACAACTAATGGCCTAAAAAAAGACTGCTTTCGCCTCTTTCATGCACCAATGATTTTTGAGTGTTGTTAGTATTAACTCCAACCCGTTGCCATCAGTACTTTCGGGTTCCCCAGGAAATTCATTTAGTTAAACTTAGAAGGTTTTATTAAAATGTCTTTACTGGCCCCTAATCCATAGTAGTACCTCTTTCTGTCTTTTTGGTGTACATGCCTTAATTCTTTTTTAATGTAATTCTGAAGGCAAAACCATTCTATTAAAGGAGAATGACAAAATTTAGGAAAATTAAGGAATATAGTGATCATGATAAAAAAAATTACACTTTAAGAATATGTACTTATACACACACACACACACACGTACAATAAAAATGGAAATCTGAATAAAATTAGTGGTATCTATCAGTGTGAATACCCTGATTTCAATAGTATACAATAACTTTGCAAAAGGTTACTATTGGGGGAAACTAGGCAGAGTATTTAAGACATCTGTACTTTTCTCTAAAGTGCATGTGAATTTACCATTATCTCCATAAATTTTTCATTAGGATATATGTACTTAAAACTAACATAGCAACATGTTGTCATATGTATGATCTGAAAAAAAAAGAATAGTTTACCATAGCAACAGACCCAAACACATATTCCTCCTTCTGAATAAATTATACTAGGAGCCTATTACAGACACACATTGAAGTGGTTAAATGACACTTACAGAATTTAGAGACTTGTCTCAACTTTCTAGATTTTTCTTTCTGAAAAAATGAAGTTACTCCTGAAGAAAACTGGTTAAGGGGAGTATCTAGGAAATTTGTAACTCAAGAGGTTTTTTCCATGTAATTTGAGAAGTTTTTGTTGACCTCACAAACACAACCCCATTTGAAAATGTTTCTTGAAATGTTATTAATTATATGAGAGGTTATATAAGGAATTCTTAAAGCCTCAGAATATCTTAACCCATTCCTACTGACCACACAGATGAAGAAAATACGAACAAATATGACTAGAAGCTCCAATTTCCATATCTGATTAATAATAACATATGACTTGAAATGGGAAATGCTGCTTTAAAACAGCCCCCAAGTGGAAGGGTGTGTCCGTGACTGTTTGAACTAGGAAAAGGGAGAATCTAGCAATCACAACGTTGGAAAAATTTGTAAAATAGCGGAGAGTTTGAACTGGATCTTTGGTGAAATTAGGGTTAACTTACAGGTCTGAAGTAGAAAAAAAAAGCCCCCTAATGTTTCTTGCTTCTTGCAGATTTCAAGGAGGCGTTTCTCCTGTTTGACAGGACAGGTGATAGCAAAATCACCTTAAGCCAGGTTGGTGATGTCCTCCGGGCTCTAGGCACAAATCCCACCAATGCAGAGGTCAAGAAGGTGCTGGGAAATCCCACCAATGAAGGTAACCCCATGTTTTCCCAAAAAGTTGAGAAATATGTGGTGTGTGTGTGTGTGTGTGTGTGTGTGTGTGTGTGTGTTTCAGAGAAAGAGAGATTTATTAAGAAATAAGTTTCACAGAATAGGACTTAATTGGCTTTTGATGGTAAGTGTGCCACTTGGCTAGAGTCAGTTTTTTCCCTCATAAAGTAAGTTAACCTTCCTTTGAGAATTTGCAAGCTTGATAAAATTTCATGCTAATGCAAGGAAATAATATTTAATGCTAACATCATTATCATCATCTTATCTTAATGCTCATAATTTAAAGGTTAATGAAATGAAATAATACCCAAATCTACACATTTTTTCAAACCTTCAAAGGCAAAATTACATTTTGACAAAGATGTTAAATATGACTAAAACATAATGCACTTTGCAAATAACTCCAAGTAAATTATAATAGCACACTCCGAGAGGATGTCTACTCTGACAAAAGCCAGAGAAATGAAATCAATGTTTTCAGGGAGACAAAATACCTGCTGACTTTGCCCAATGGCCTATCTTTTGACACCCTGCTTCTGTAAGTCTCTTAAAGGAAACTCAGCTATCTTAATTAACAAAAACAGGATGACATCTTAATAAGAGTATTTTTTTATGTCCAGAGAATTACCAAAAGACCTAAAAATCTATGCCAAACCTGCATTTAGTCACCCAAGTTAAATCATGGTATCAAAGTCAGTAACATACATGAGTGGCAAAATTGCAGAATTTATTTGCTCAACACAGAAACCCAGTCCTAGAGCAAGAAAAAAATGTTTAATCCCTAAGGTTCATGGCAAAATATAATAATCTATTGGAAAACAAACAACAACAACAACAAGACCAAATTGACATTTTTTAAGTAGATATGTGGGCTGTTTATCTTTGCCACAGGTAAAAAAGAAAACAAATAATTTCTTTTTTCTTTGATAATTAAAATGACAATTTTCTTGTGTTGCAAAAGAAAAAATACTTCAAGAAAACCTAACTCTAAATCAGTCTGACTATTCATCACAGTTCATTTTCTTTAAAGGAAAATTTCCAGGTAAATCACACAAAATAATAGCTGAGAGAGTGAGATAAAGTAAAAGAATAGTAAGTCAAGTCTTCCTTCTTAAGTGCCATTTCTAACTTATCAAACATCCATCTTTAATGGGATTATTAAGTAAATATTCGTTTATTCAGCATTTCCATTCAGTCTTTTTACTATTATTTAATGTACTAGATTTGTATTCTATGAGGAAAGACTCGTAAAAGGGAATTCTGATTTTAGGAGTACATGACTATACACTGCATACATCTGGATAGTCTATTTTATATTTCCTGTGAATATGATTCACCTTGTCAAAAATTACCAAAGATAGTCCTATCATCTGTAGGCCTCTAAATTACAAAAACATCAGAAGTTCACAAAACATTTGACACATTCTTTCCTCATAAGCTTCTTTTTTAAATTAGCTAAAATTTAAAGAAATTGAAGGCCCTACAAAAGCTCAGGACAAAATCGGACTATATATTAAAGTTCAATTAAGTTTTACTATATTTACATGCTATCGTATCAGTATAATTTTATATAGCTTCCCTAGAAATTATAAAAATATTAAATTAAGCCCAGCCAGTGTGGCTCAGTGGTTGAGCATTGACCTACAAACCAGGAGGTCTCAGTTCAATTCCTGGTCAGGGCACATGCTTGGGTTGTGGGCTCGATCCCCAGTGGGGAGGCATGCAGGAGGCAGCCGATCAATGATTCTCTCTCATCTATGTCTTATCTCTCTCTTCCTCGCCCTTCCTATCTGAAATCAATAAAAATATATTTAAAAAAATATTAAATTGACAGTACTAATAAAATGGCAGCTAACATTAAGTACTCGGTTGTCCCAGGTATTGTAACAAACTTGGCTTGTGTCATCTCATTTACTAGTAATTCTCATACTAACACTATGAAATATCTCTATTTCAGAGATGAAGAAGCTGAGACATAAATTGGTTAATAAACTTGCCCATAATCACATAGGTGTAAATGGTGGGTTGGAGATAAAAGGTCGAGGACCAGGGCTCCAGAGCTCAGGCTATTTAACTATTACCAAAGTTTCCTCATCAGCAACTTACCAACTGAAATTTTCACTGTATGAAGATTTTTCAGGTCATCTAGAATAAACTTTAAAGTTTAATTTGAGACTCAGAGATGGCATTTTATGTTTGCTAACACTCTCCAAATTGCAATTTCTTCCAGAGATGAATGTCAAGAAAATTGAGTTTGAACAATTTCTTCCCATGATGCAAGCTATTTCTAACAACAAGGAGCAGGGCACTTATGAAGACTTCGTTGAGGGTCTGCGTGTCTTTGACAAGGAAGGCAATGGCACAGTCATGGGTGCTGAACTCCGTCACGTGCTAGCCACACTGGGTAAGGAAATTTGTTCCAGTGGAATTAGTAGGACAGAATATATAAGAAGGAGTATGACTTGAGGGAATCATGTTATAACCAAGGTAGATAAGGGAAAAGACTACAAAGGGAAAATGTAAAAGAATATTCAAAAGTTAACAACCATTTCAATTAACTAGTGTCAATGAGTGAGTTTGGGGAAAATGGTAACATAAATTACTGGTAATGAATAATAAAACACTGTAGTCCTCATAGGATATAGTTTGAATATCTATACTAATAAAAGCCTAGGTGGCCTTCGCGCATGACACCATCACAAGATGGCCACCACAAGATGTCCATGTGCACAGCGGAGACGGGGCCAAGTGGCTGCTCCATGTGGTGAGGCCTGGGGGTCCGGCGGCTCTGTGCAGCATGGAGGTGGCTGGTCCCAACGATGACGCCATCACAAGATGGCCGCCACAAGATGTCCATGTGCACAGCGGAGACGGGGCCAAGTGGCTGCTCCATGTGGTGAGGCCTGGGGGTCCGGCGGCTCTGTGCAGCATGGAGGTGGCTGGTCCCAACGTCTCTGCCACCTCATGCAGAAGAGGCAGGTCCTGGCGGAGGAAGCAGGTCATGTCAGGGGAGGGCAGTTTTGGGCAATGGGGCCAGCAGGGGAAGGCAGTTGGGGGCGATTGGGCCGGCAGGGGAGCAGTTAGGTGTCAATCAGGCTGGCAGGCAGAAGCAGTTTGGGGCTATCAGGCAGGCAGGCAGGTGAGCAGTAGGAGCCAGCGGTCCCAGATTGTGAGAAGGATGTCCAACTGCTGGTTTAGGCCCAGATCAGGCCTAAACTGGCAGATCGGGCCTAAACCGGCAGTTGGACATTCCCTGAGGGGTCCCAGATTGGAGAGGATGCAGGCTGGACTGAGGGGCCTCTAGTTCGTATATAATGTGCACTTAATTCACTGACTCAAAACATTTATTGGCAACCGACTAAGTGCGAGAGGAATAAGAAGGGCTTGGCTCCTATCCTCCAAGAGTTTAGTCATAGTCTCCAGAAGTTCCAAACTGGTCACTTACAGTGGAATATTGAAAATATTCTCTGACTTCCTTTCTGAACAAAGACTTTTGCTTCATCAGGTGAAAAGATGAGAGAGGAAGAAGTGGAAACACTGTTGCAAGGTCAAGAAGACTCCAATGGATGCATCAACTATGAAGGTACAATCTCATGTGCTCTGGTAGTTACTGCATCTCTTAAATGATTAGATTGATGATGGACTCCATTTGAGCTTAAAATAATTTCTTTTTCTTCACCTCCCTTATTAACACACACATGCTACTTATTATCAATGAACTATATAATAACTCTAACTCTAAAAAGATATCTTGTGAAGATTTGAATATCTATAATAACAAAAGCATAATATGCTAATTAGGCCAGATGACCTTCTGGATGAAGTCAGGGTTTCGAGGGAAGCCCCGGCCCCGGGTGCCAGAGGGAAACCAGTGCCGGCCGCCAGGGGAAGGAAGGCCTACTCTTGCACAAATTTCGGGCATCGGGCCTCTAGTATATATATACAAGATTTATTCCAGTGGGTTTTAGCACTCTTGTATATTGTTATACAGCTTAAAATGTGTTTTCACGTGTACTTTTCTTGTTAGACCTTTATCACATCTCTTTAATATAGACAGAGTTGTGTTAGAATAAAATTTATTAGAATATCAAAGTTGGAGAGATCTTAAAATCCTTTACATAAAGGAATTATAAAATGAAGAAATTGAGGGGCCAAAAAGTTTAGGTATCAGTGAAGGTCACATCATTAATGATAGGCATGGTGCTATATGAAAGTCCTCTCGTAGTGTCCAATTATCTATTTCCTGCTACCAATCTACAGCAGCTTCAGCCAGAGGATCTGAAAAGCAACAAACTACACAAAATAAAGATGCAAATTAAAGTTGCATGATATGACATGTAAATTAAAATTTTCCAAGAAAATTGAGAAACTTATCTATTCCCCTAAAATGCTAATCTAGTCATATTTCAATAAAGCTATGTTGATAGATTTTTTTAAAATTGATTTCAGAGAGGGAGGGAGAGGGAGAGAGAGATAGAAATATCAATGATGAGAGAGAATCATTGATTGGCTGCCTCCTGCATACGCCCTACTGGAGATCCAGCCTGAAACCGGGACATGTGCCCTGACCGGAAATCGAATTGTAACCCACGGTTCATAGGTCAACGCTCAACCACCGAGCCACACTGGCAGGGCTGTTGCTAGATTTCATGTAAATTTAGACTTGTGAAGTCTGATGACTAGAGGAAAAGTAAAGAAAAGAGAAGCAGAGAGAAGAGGGGAAGAAAGGAGAAAGGAGAGAGAGAGAGAGAGAGACAGAAGGGGACAGGAGAAAAGGAAAGTACTCAGCCAAGCATACCTTCACTGACAATCTTAATTAAACTTCACTTCTTTCCCATAAACAATATTTTAAATTTGGTTATTATCATAAGTATATTACATAAAAGAAGAATCATTCAATAAATACTGTTTGGACAAGTGGATAGTAATCTAGAAAATTAAATCAGACCTGGATCTTATACCAAAATAAATTCCAAATGGGTCAAGCATTTAAATGTAAAAGAAAAAAGCATAGGAGCCAAAGAAGAATTATTTTATAGCTTTTGGAACTGGAAGACCTCTCTAATACTTATATAAAACCCAGGAGGCACTTCAAATTTTGACAAATTCAACCATATCATGTTTTTTAATTTATATGGCAAAAGCCACCAGAAGCAGAGTTAAAAGAAAAACAGCAGACCAAAAAAAAGATATATTTTTGCAATCAGTATTGCAAAGAGCTCATTTTCCTAATAAAAAGCAATTACAAATTTATAAAAAGACCACAACCTAATAAAAAACTGATATATGAACAGACACTTCATAGAAAAGGAAAGTATATACACAAATACAGTGGAATATGCTAAACTTCATTAATAACAAGAGAAATGCAGATTGACACTACACTGAAATACCATTTTTAAATAAGCTGATTGCTGAAGATTAACAGTTTGACCAAACTTTGGGGTGAGAAGAATGTGTAGAAAAAGCCGATCTTATGCATTCCTACTGAGAATGTAAATCATTTAAGTCCCTGTGTGGTGATGGGGTACTAGCAGATCTAACAAATCTACTTCAAGGAATGTAGACATTCTTGCAGTCAAGTGAAATGAGTGCTACATGGTTATTTGTTAGTAGTGCTGTTTGTGATGGCCAAATATTTGAACAACTTAATGTTAATCGATGTAGAATGTATCATATAGATTCCAGTACATCTACACAATGAAATACCCTACAGCCCTGAAAAAAAAATGACATTCTTGTTTACGGTTATGGAAACATCTCCAAGTATATTACTAAGTGAGAAAAGTAAGTGAAAAAGAATTTGCAGAGTATGCCACCATTCATGTACAAAAAAAATTATAAACATATATTTGGCCCTAGCTGGTTTGGCTCAGTGAATAGAGCATTGGCCTGAGGACTGAAAGGTCCCAGGTTTGATGCGAATCAAGGGCACATGCCCAGGTGGCAGGCTCTGTCCCCATTGGGGGGGCGTGCAGGAGGCAGCCAATCAATGATTTTCTCTCATCATTGATGTTTCCATCTCTCTCTCCCTCTCCCTTCCTCTCTGAAATCAATAAAAATATATTTTTTAAAAAGAAGCATATATTTGTATTCTCTTATATGCACTTAATAGCTCTATGAACTTAGCTATAAAGGAGAAACTAAGTATCTGGGAGACAGTGGTGAGAAACTTTTATTTTTGTTATAAACTCTTTCATACTTTAAAGAAGAAAAATTTAATCGTGTGAATGTACCCCTTACTCAAAAATTAAATTTATAAAATCAGGGAAAGGTCATAAATCTAGTAATAAGTACAGCGGGCTGTGCAGAGCATGAAAAATAAGCTCCAGTGTTTTAGCTAAGATTAATTAAGATTGAAGTAACTTTCAGAACCTCTTTTTTATTATTATTAAATTTGACTGTTTTCTAACCCTCAACTGTCTGTATTGTGCCTACAGCTTTTGTCAAGCATATCATGTCTATCTAAATGGAGCTCTCAAGGTATATATGTTTCCTCTTTACTCTTTAGACTTTCTTGGGTTTTTTTTAATCTTCTTTAACTGCTTCACTTTATATTCTGTCGATATAATTAGTATTATTTCTTAAAAGTTATTTATATGAACCAGAAAACTTCAACTCCCTGAAATGGGTTATTTAGAAATAGATCACTTTGTATAAGCAAAAACCTCAGAAGTTTAATATATAAATCCTATCTTTGTACTAAAAGTATGCAATGGAGAGTCAACAACCCAGAGTAGTTAATTAATTTATTTGGGACGTAACACTAATAAAAGGATGGGCCTAAGTTTTCTGAATAACGCATAGTTTTTAACAGTTACCACTCTAGCAAACCATGTTATCACAGTTAAGCACTTGCAACCATGTGCTTACACCGAGGAAATAGTTTACCTTGAAAGTGTTGGCTCATTTGTGCTTTTTCTTCTTATCACTTCACATTAAAATAAAAATCCAACTCATTTCCCCCTTTCTTTACAGATCAAGCATTGTTTAGGAAGACTGGCTGGAAACTTATAACACCCATGTCCAGATCTGTTTACCATCATTCAGAAAACAAAACAATGTAGACTATTCTAGACTGAGGACTTCCTGAAATTTTTTATACCTACATTTCTCTCTGAATTGCATTCATATAACACAAACCAAGTGTCTCCTGCTCTAGACAAGGATAAAATACTGACAATCTCAAACCCAAGCACCACTCTTTATTTTCTACCATGGGTCAATCAACATCCTTAAATTAAAAGAGCAATAAATAACTTTGGTCAGTCTGGAATATTCAATTTGCATTGTGTTTTTATCTTCTTAGAGAAAATAATTTTTAAAACCTCAATTCTATTGTTCATGTATAGAATATTGATGAATTAAAAGAAGAAATCAGTATAGTCTATATAGAAAATAACAGAATGAATAGTAGTGATAATCCCATAAATCATATATGGGATTCAATCATATATTACTGAAAAAGTGAAATAGAACTCCAGCTGGCTTGGCTCAGTGGACAGAGTGTTGGCCTGTGGGCTCAAGGGTCCTGGGTTCAATTCCAGTCAAGGGCACATGCCCAAGTTGTGAGCTTGGTCCCCAGAAGGGGGCATACAGGCGGCAGCCAATCAATGATTCTCTCTCATCATTGATGTTTCTATTTCTCACTCCCTCTCCCTTCCTCTCTGAAATCAATAAAAAAAAATCTTTAAAAAAAAGAAAGAAAGAAAAAGTGAAATGGAGAACTGAAAAAATTCAGAGGATCAGAGATGTTTTCATATAAACTACCCAGGCAATTCAAGATGAAAGCAGGCTTCCTCAGTTGCATGTAAATCATCGTATTCATGGTTTGAACTATTTCACTTCTAGTGATAATCTGGCCTATTAGAAAATTCTAATAAGCCCTAATCCCTCTCACTGAATGTCTTCAAGGATAATATTTAAAGTGACCTTTCAGCTGTCACTTAAAAAACCTCTCTGGGATAAGACTGTTATTCAAGAACATATCTATTAATATGCTGTCTCCTGCTATGCTCCCCTCTACTTCACATGCCTGTGTCCCCAAATCTTGGTTCAATCTTCTAATATATGTCTTAAATGGTAAAATAATTCATAGAAAAGTTCAAAGTGTAAACTTACTTTATCATATCATAATGCTATCATGTCACTTTTCTTCAGAACAAAGGCAGAATTTGCAAGCTAATAGTTGTATGTTTAGAAGAGATGCGGTGATAAATAGTTCTCCCCCTCTCTCAAAAGATATCAGAAATATATGGGATTATAAAATCTCTGAGAAGTACCTGCCTGCCTAGACATTTTTGGAAGCTGAAACAACTTTTTCCTGATGTTAGGTGCTTCATGTCCACATGCTCCTCAACTCTAGCAAAGGTCTCTCGGGTTCCAGTAGTCAACAGCTTCAACTCTGACTTAGGCTTTTGTGGCCAAGATGATGTCGGGACATTACAATCAGTCATAAGGAAAATTCACAATGGCCTCAAGATCTTTAAGACCAAGTTAGCCTAAGACCAGGAACTGGAAATTTCACACAGCACGGTCCAGCAGAACTTGCAGTAAATCTGTATCTACATTGTTCTATTGGGTAACCACTAGAGCACTTGAACTGTGGCTAGTGTGACTGTGGAATTGAATGTTTAATTGTATCTCATTTTAATTAATTTAAATAGACACATGTAGCTCATGACAACCATACTGAACAATGCAGGTTTCAATACATAAGGCAATGAAAATGTTCTTATTTTTACTTATAAATGTCACCATTGTAGAGAAGTTGACAGTTACAAAGAGTCCAATCATAAAAGGATAAATTTTTTTGAAATATGTAGTTAAATTTTCTATCTTTTAACTCCTTTAACATCTTTCACTTAGAAAAATGTGACAAAGTTTTTGTCTCAAGCTTCATATTTAATATTTTTTCCCACAAGACTTTATAAAACTGCTTTAACTCCACAGGGGATAACATCTAGTATACTGTCATGGGACCTAACCTTATTAAATTACCATGTGTGAAGTGCCCATAACTCAAGTAGCAGCAGGTGCAAAACAGAGTAGCGGGTGAAAGAGTGACAGTAATTTTTAACATCTACACCAGCTGGTGAAAATGACAGGTGCTTAATTCCTCAGTCTTTAAAAATAACTTTTGAAAAGCCTCCACTGCATAAGCACATATTTTTAAATTTTTAAAACTATCTTCAAGTTACTTCCTGACCAAAAAACAAAGAAACAAACAAACAAAACAAAAAATTATTTCAGCCTAAATGTATATTTGAAACTTATGTCACAGGAACTTAATTTATTTTTCTTCTGTGAAAAAAAATAAATGATTAGTAAGATGGAGAAGTAAACTTTTATCTTTAGACATCATGATAATATTTCTCAAGAAACACTATATCAAAAAGAACTCTTCATATATCTTTCTCTAATTGTACTTACATATCTTTTTTGATATTAGAAAATATAACTTGGAACTTAATAGAATGGAGAAAATATGTCTTCCTTTAAATTCTAAGCCTAGAGAAAACCATGAATCTATAGATTGTTCAGAAAACCAAGTCTATATCCCAAAAGAACAGAGAAGATTAAACAGCAAGTATCTGGAGTCCAGACTAAAGAGTTACACTCCCTTGAACTGTCAATATATGTGCAGTTAAGAGCTAAATGGTAAAATAATTCAGGCCATGATCTCAGTTTTACAATTTGATGAGGGATCCCTAGGATAAAGGAAGTCAGTGCCAAAGAAAGAGTGATGGGGTTCCAAACACCTGCTGGGAATCTTTCCATAAACTTCACATCAAGATAAATTTACATTTGGTAGGAAAAATAATTAGCTATACCTTCCTTGGCCTTTAGGTGCCAGTACCTACACTGAGGCTGGCCAGGGTTACCTTGCTTCCACCATGGCCATGCAAAACTGAGAAGCAGAAGTAATATTGGCCAGGGATACTTAGGCCCATGTCCCAGACCCCACACTTGAGAAGGCTCCACTCATTCCCCTCCAGCCACACACCGCCACAGCCAAGGATTCTTCCCGGAAATAGCGCAGGCCACTTCCAGAGCTCTTGTTCCTATTCCTTGACTACCCTTTGGATACCAGGACCCCAGAATTCCCTGCCCAAATGACCCCTACTCTCTCTTCTAGGACCTGTGGTATCCTTCCTAGGTCCATTCTCCTAAGGGGAGACTGTCACAAGTGTGTGCAAACCAAAGACCAAGGGGTGGCCAAAGCCAATTTACATCTTGTTTGGTTGAGTTAACCACATGGCCCTGGAGCTGGGGGTTAGAATCAGAGAGCAGGTCACCACTCTCTTGGACCCCCAGATGGGTAACTTTGATTATATCATACATAAAATAGAATATTTACAAAGCCCTGTTATGAGAATTAAATGAAAAAAACATAGATAAAGTGCCTCAATAAGGACAATTTACCATAAGGGTTAAATATACAAAATGGTGGCTATTATAATCATCATTTCTTGAAATTACTATAAAAGTTCCTATTCAGAAAAATTATTTTACATCTTCCAAGACTTTGCTCAGGTACCTACCTCTTCCACTGACTTTTCCCCCTATCATCCTCTCATGACCACCCACCATTGCGTGCTTATAACACCTTGTACCTATTATTGTGTTTATGATACAGCATAATTATTTATTTGCATCACAAGATATCTATATCCCCAGAACCTAGAATGGTGCCTGACTCATGGTTGGCACTAAATAAATGTTTTTTAAAGAATGATTGAATGCATGAGTGAAACTGCTCCTATGTCTTCAATCCCCTTAACTTTGAAGGTAAGAAACATGTCCTACTGACATTTGTATCCTGAATGTTTAGATGAGTAATAAAGCCCGATAAGTCCTCAATAAAAATTTAGTGAATGTATTCATGAACTAATGAACAAGAATATGCTGATGAGTGAAAATTCCTACATTAGTAGTAAGAGGAACCTGAAGGATATATCCCATGATTTGAAAAGACAAGGATAAAGCTATTTTTGTTAGGCAGTACTTGGCAAGAAGGTTCAGTGTTTCATTTATTTCAGTAACTATTGCTAAATAATTTTGTTCCTGGTCTGTTGGTTTCTTTGCTTAGCTTTTCCTCTCATAATGTGACGTGTGCACTATCCAAGATGAAGTTAGAGCAAAGCGCAAGAGTGCTTCCAAGTAAAACCACTTGGTTTGCTTTCTGCATTGGTGGTCGGGAAGCTCAGAACAAATTTAATATATTTCACAATTCTCCCCATTCAATTATTTTGTTCTTTTCTTTATATCTTTTTTTGTACCTCAATCATTACCTTTACTTTAACTGCTCTGTTGAAATGCTTTTACTGTCAGCCATATCAAATCTGCTTGGAAAGCTTGGTGGTACAAAATATAATAACCATATTGATAAACTTCATGGTTTCATCTTTCCAGATATAAACTTTATTTACTGCCCATGAAAATCAACTTCCTGGGTCAAATAAAAAAGGTGATAAAATGGTTCGTAAGGTTTCTGGACATCAAGCATTTTCTACCAAATAATATTTCAATGAGTAATGTGTAACTAAATCAGAAACAGATTTAATATCCCTTGAAGTTCACATGGCTTTAGACTGAGTTAACATATATTATTTGCTGAGTTTGCTAAACCTAGAGAAAAAGAGAATTAGTTAAAGCTTTCTAAACAAACAAAATTCTAATTTATTTCTGTTCAAACTGAAAAAAATATTGAAATTGAGAAGTGTCATAATACTATAGTAGAAAATATGAAGACCCCCCCCTCAATGGAGTAATAACAATAAAATGGACTCTCATTGTGGATTTCCTTAATGTAGAGACCAAACTGAGATTTGAAAATCCCTTCATAATAACATATACTGTTCTTTATAAACTGAGTTGTGTAGAACAAGAAGCAATTACACACACTGAAGACATTTTTTTTTTCCAAATGGCAATCTCTTGATTCTTAAAGAGATAAAAATTAACTATTCATTTCACATAGATTTTTCCCTTAGAAAAAGAATAAAAAGATTGGTGGTTGCCAGAGGGGAGAAATGGGGAGGGATTTAATGAGTGAAAATAGGGGAAGGAAGTTGAGAGGTACAAACTTCCAGTTACAAAATAAATAAGATTTTGGGATTTGATGTACAAAAATAACAATAAGTATTAGGATGTAATATACAACATGATCACTGCCGTTTGATATATAGAAAAGTTGTTAAGAGAGTGGATCCTGCCTGGCCAGTGTGGCTCAGTGGTTGAGCATCGACCTATGAACCAGGAGGTCACAGTTCAAT